TGAGTAGTCCACTAGCACGTTTGTGGAGGAAGAAATTTAATAGTGTTGGTTTGAGTTATCTGCAAACGGTTAGTTTTATGGGAATTTTATCGTGGGGGTTTATGTTTTCTGCTTTTACGGAGCTAGGATCCATGGTTTTATGTGTTTCCCTGAGTAGTACTAGATACCACACCCCGGTTTTTGTTATTGTTATGTATGATGCTGTATATTGAGCGGGCGAAAATTTGGAATATTTGGAGTTTGTTTTGGGGGGAGGAGATATGTATTACGTATGTATGGGTGGATATGTGTGGATGCGTACATTACATGTTTTAGGGGGAGGGGGGTTGTTGGTGGAGAATCTGATAAAAAAATTGAATAGTAGGGGGGGAATATATCCATACTTTAGTATAATTTTAGTCTGGTTGGCTTCTTTTGGATGTATAAAGGAGAAGTGTAGATGACTTGTTTTGGGGAGGGTTAGCAGCAAGTTGTATGAGGAGTGTGAGTTGAGGCAATGCCCACAGCTAAAGTTACCCTTCCAAATCTTTAATTGTGAGTGAGTTCGGGGTAACAGAAACGCACACAAAAAAAAAAAAAAAAAAAAACACAAGTTCACGCTTCAACTTCACGCTGATAATTCGAGCCGAAAATGGTTTTTTAACACTCAAAACTCACTGGTGAATAGAAAAATGGGGGTGTAATTAAGAGCCATATCAATTTTTTTTTTTCTTTTTAAAAAATACTACAGCGGGGAGAAGAAAGAAGCTCGCTCGTAAGAGAACTCAAGCACAACCTCTGCCGCGAGGGCCGATTACCGCCTACAAGTAAGTACCGGTACAAAGCGAGCGGCGTCAGCTATCTATCACTAGCAGCCACGCCGAAATTCGGGATATCAACATGTCCCGCAGTTGGACTCAGAGAGAGGAGGATCAGGACTTCCAACTCTATACAAATTACGACCAATTGATGATGGGAGCCAGATCTGTCCAAAACTGGGTTGAAAACATTGTAGGCCTCATGAGTGTCCCTCCAGAAAAGACTCAAAGCTAGGTACACCAACTGCAGCGATGACGACGAGATTCCCACAGCTGGTAGCCAACCTCGGAAAAGCAAAATTATATAGACCCTCGGAGCTCTTCAGGGAGTGGATTTCAAAAATGTAAATCCAGGTCAGTCCGTTCCCTACCTCTCGCTACTCAAACTGCAGTACCAGAACAGGCGTGTATAGTAGTAGGTGGTCAGCCTAATGCTCCCAGAATTTGAGTCTTGTTGAGCAGGTGTAGGGTGTAACAAGTGCGTTTAGGCTTTCAAAAGAGAAATATATCGAACTACGTGCCTGATGTTGAGGCCGATGGCTCGCCTACATGTATTCCAGGATTGTGCGGGTCCTACGCGCTATAGCGTAGATGAGATTGGGGGAAAGAATGCCCGTATGTAATGAACGTCTTAAAACCATCCGACCTGTGTAAAACACCGGGCAGGACAGTACACAGACCTACTTCTGAGACTGTAGCGAGGAGTGGGTATATGTGTTTGGTTAGTATTCACAAGGTTAGTTGTCTACCTTTCAGACTCTAGGTTTTGGAATGCAGGGCCTACACGATTCCGAAATGTTCATCGACAGCATCCGCGTATTGGCTGGCGATTCCACACAAGGTCATAGGGTGTATATGTTCTGGGCCGCTCGCGGGCATCGGCCGCGGGCAATTTAAATAATTACTCAATTTGGTGTATTGATAAAGTACTGATTTACTAGAAAAAAAAGAATTGATAATTTCCCAGCGACTGCAACAGATTCATTGATTTCCCAGTCGATTAGACCCCCCTCTAACATTCAAATTTGGTTCAGCTAGAGCAATATAGTCATAATCTGTTGATACTTTCATATTTTAATAAATTAAGCATTTCAGATTATTCTTAAAGTATCCGCAACAACAATTAGAGTAGAAGTTTTCACAACACTGGTAGTTATAGATGCCTGGTGAACTGTGGTTTACCGAGCAGTTAGATTATCTAAAATATCAAACTCTGAGCCCGTAAGGTCAGTAGTTGGGTAAAGGTTATCGGGTTTAGCAATATCAAACTGCAAAAGTATGAGGTTTGTTGTAGCATTGTGCCATTTGATCTCCCACAACGCTGTAAAATACCATCTACCTGTAGTATAATTCTAGGTAGAACCTGCTTCGTTTTGGTTTAAAATCAAGAATTTGGAGTAGCTTAGCAATCTGCATATAAAACAGTACCTGTTATTAAGAAAGTACCGCTTTTCACCTGACCTGGATTTTATAAGTGAGGAATAGCCTGCTTTTTTCTAGTATAAAAATCAATCTTGCAACAAGATGTAGACAAAAGTATTATAATTATGATTGCTCCAAATTTCACTGAATTCCACATAGCATATTGATATTCAGCATAAGATGGTCGATATAGCTCCAGCAATAAGGCCTCATCAATAAGAACCCCCGCGGATAAGAAACTAATTTCCAAATACCCATTGGATAGGGTTGTGGATTTTTAGGGCAGCAGTAAACTCAGTATCCTCTTCCCTATTCCTTCATCATCAGAGATGCAGTAATGAGTTGTTAACGTTGCCAGCATGTACTTCACCATCTGGAGGGCTTGAGGTAATTTTTCCGGAATTCTCCCTTGTTCAATGTCTGCCGTCTCCCACTAATCAACAGGAAGGGTATATGATGTGGATAGGGCAGTCAAAATAACTTCTTAGGGTGTTCTTTGAGTGTCGCAGAATGTTTTGTTCTATTGAGATTTACCAAATTGAGGAATTATATTAATTGCCCGCGGCCGGCACAGTGGGTATGCCCCTCGCGGGCAATTTATTTAATTACTGCATTTGGTACATAACGCACTTGAATTTATAAGCATATAGACACATTGAACGGGTTCAAGTTGATCTAATTGATATGCTCCATGAGCCTGATGGACAATATAAATGGATCTGTCATATGAAAAGACCATATGGTTCCATTAGAAAATAAAATGGTAAGTTAAACTCATTATTACAAGTAATATGATACTAATATTATTAGTGGAGTCTGTTACATCTGCAATGACATTATGGATTTAGCTTTATAACTCAGCTAATATTTTATGATCTGATAATAATGGTGGAGAATTTAAGGGGAATTTAGTATGCTTGGAGTATTAAAATAAAACATGGAAAACCTCGCATACCTCAAGTCCAAAGATTTTTTTTGAAAAGAGAAGAAGATACAGCAATTCCATGTTTACATTAGGTTCTAATCGTACAAAATACTATTCAACACTCAAAACTCCCTCTGAGTTGACCCTATCTTATCTATACCAAGTACACCTTTTATTCAAGGAGCAGAAAACTATAGAACTTGAACAAGAGCGGGATTCCCCAAAAAAATACCTTCATGAATAATCACTAGAATGAAGAGAAGGATGCTGAGTATATTGCCACTTTTAATCCCTCCAAAATAAAGCTAGTTTTTAAGCTTAGAAAATAGGCGCATACTGATATACAGCATCGAGGACTAAGCCATAACTGACAATCAAAGCATATATGCAAACGTTATAGCCTGAATGCACACACCTTTATCCAACTAAAGATTTCGAGCTAGCAACTAATCTTATGGGGTTGTATAAATGAAGTTATAGATATTCCAGCTACTCGACAATCCATAATCACTTTAGCTAATGCTTCTCGGCAGGCATCCACAACAATTCGGATTTCAGTCTTATGTATTTACAAAACTTCCTATACCAGTCGTTGCTGCAGATGCTTTATAAATGGGTTGAAATACTCATTCCTTTGTCATACTAGAGGGTTAGCAGACCATGAAACCTCTCGGCTCTAGCTTAACGGACACAAATTGGACTCCTGGATAATAGCCCAAGATGACTCAATCGACCTGGAGGACAACTAATAGCCTAGTTGTATGTATTTAATATAGCTCTAGTTAGATATATTTTTATTAATTTAGGTACGTTATATACTAAATGCAGTAATTGAATGAATTGCCTGCTAGTGGGTATGCCGCCCGCGAGCGACCCAGAACATATGCATGACTTTCACGATGGTTAATGGCTACTGGAAGGTGCCATGAACAGTGTTGCTGGGCGATGGTCGGAGATATAGGCGCCGGATATGGCAGATTAACTTGACTTTCCTGAATCTACCAGGGTTTCCTAGTGGCTCATCACAGTTCCCCGCATATGAGTAATGAGTTTTTTTGAAAAAAAAAAAAAAGTAGGAGAGATAGATATACCTACCCTACAGAAACAGATTCATAAGTGGGGGATTGCATGAGAGTTTGAAACACCGTAGCGAGGCTGGCACGTAGATGATTATAGCAGTCATGTTGCATATTCAGCAAAGATCTTCCAAATGGCATGAAGAGAAAGCCACAATCAACAAAGCAGATCAATGGCTCTAGAACTCTCAGTCGAGCCTATGTTGAGCAAGAGAAAGCTCGTATTGCTGCTTCTCAAGCTCTTGAAGCTAAGAAAGACGCAAATCAAGAGGCACGGAGATTATCCGGCTAAAGGCTAAGGTAGCAAAGAAGCTTGCTGGTGCATCAAAAACAACAAGAGTGGGGTGCTCGGGACGGTGGGCGCAGGAATGTAGCTCAATCAAGGACTGCAAGACGCTCACTGGCCCCTTTTCCTGACGCTAACAAAATTGCTCAGAGAGTCTAGAATCGGCCACGCTATGTACCTACTGATTTACGGAGGTTAAAAAATGTAATGACATTTATGACACTTTGTGCTATGTACAGTCTAATATACAGTGAGCAGCTGGAGTTGATACTAATAGAGCTGATAGAACGAGTCTATGGGGAGCCGCCTCTGTAGTGGCCGCGGGTCGTGTTAGAGGGGGTTATAAGGGTCGTGGCTGGAGAGTGGTAGTTATACAGTAAATCTAAGAGGGCGTTTTTTCATGCTTTTGTACCCCATATTGTTCGGAATGTTGGTGAGTAGCGGGAGACCCATGTCGATCATCACGTGAGTAACTGTTCAAAAAAAATTGAATCTGGAGGCGCGGGGAATCGAACCCCGGACCACCTCTATGCTAAAGAGGTATTATACCACTAAACCACGCCCCCAATGGATAGAGGTCTGTTTATTGAGATTTTAGATAAACACATAATTATTTGGGTGTTGTGCCAGGACACCGAAAGAGAACAGTCGGCGTGGCGGATTTAGGGCGCCATGTTAGCATCATGAACAGGATGCGTCAGTTTTTTTTTATTTTTATTTATATACCCATATATCAGTGGACTGCTTCAAAAATCAAATTCCGTAATTTTAAGGGCTGCTCCTCCCGGGAAAAACACAGCTAGTTTGGCTTGAAGTTATCGCTGCCGCACGACCACACCCTCTCGAGCAGTGGTTTTCGCTCCAGTAACCGCTAGCCATCGTGAAGAACATGCTCACAACCCTAAGACAATATAGTGAGGAGTCACCAATCTATACGGTATGGGGTACGCAGGTCCGCCTGGTCCGGTCGATGGTGACGTGGGCCGACGGCACCTTGCATCACAAAACTCGGGATCTCCTACACTCGAGTGGTGGACATCCACCTTATAATTTACACTAATTAAACGAGTAATGACCACTCCTCGTCTGCAGATCTCAGAAGTTGGGTCCACGTCAAGAGCTGGCCTGCCCCATGTTTTACACGTTTACTACCTGCGGGCCTTCTCGTCCCCCGATCTACGCTCCAGCGCGCGGGACCCGTAATAGTCCTGGAGTGAATGGCACAATTTGAAGGATACGTAAGAGCAAGCTGATTCCGGACCGTACATATTTCAGAATCAGCTTGCTCTTATCCCTTTAGATACTACATACCTGAACTACTAACTGAACGGCACATAGTTCAGGTATGTAGTTCGTCAATAAATAAACTTTTTTCACTAACACGATTGCAGGCAAGATCAACAAGAAACGGAGGCGTGAGGAACATTCTTATTATGAACCACAACAATTATATGGTATTGTAACCTCTGGCAGCCACTGGGTCTTCATTCGGGAGACCATGTCCAAAGGAAATGGAGGATGAGGTGGATCTCATGTCATTCCCATTTGCCACTGACTTAATAAAGTATCGGTCATTTGCAATTGGTCATGCATGCCCTGCCGTGGTTTAGGAAGCAGAGCGATATGGGATTACTGTATCCTGTAATGTAACACGCCTCAGACAGGCCTAAGGTGTCAGCAAAATTTATTAAACCTCTCCCCAGTACTGTCATTCTTATGCACGGTGCCTTTTTTTCCTACTGTATTCCTGCTTGTGGCATAACTGAGAATTATAGGATAACGGGATATCTGATAATCAAGCGATCGAGGGACAAAGGCTCTGAATTCCACTTGTATCTCTAGAAGAAATTACGATCGAAGTTAGCATTATAAGCATATCGTTTGGCCTTATATGAATATACCAACATTTTTCCTTATCATTACCCGTCTTCTTACACTTAGGACCAAGGCTTGGAGGTTGTGCAGTGTCATCAAACCTCAGTCGGCTGGTTGTGTAATGCAACACTAGAGGCTGTCAAAGTGGGACTAGCTTTATTTCCCAAAAAGGCAGTCTGTAGTTGGGGCCAAATCAGGACTAGGTAGCCCACCCCTGCCACTTACCAAAAAGGAACCAATTAACCTTAGTCCAATAATGTTTCTTTTAGAGAGCAAGTTGATGATGGAGATAACAGCAGTGGAGAGAGCAGTTCTAGCAGTAGGGGTTCTGAAGGTAGAGGGTCAGTCAACTCAATTAAGACAAAGGCACCAAAATAGCAACAGTTTAGAGCCATATCTGAAATTGTATCAACAAATCAGAAAAGCAAAGATATCAAAGGATCTAAAATCTGACTCAAAATGAAAGGAAGTACATACCTTATTTATATATCGATTCATGTGTAAGCACCAAAAAAAATTACACTAACCTTTTCCAAATTTTTGGTAGTATTACAGCGGTTTGTAGAGGAGGTAGAATGTTGTGGCACTTTTACACAAAAGACAGGACCATAGGTGTGCATTCATCTGTAAGGCTCTTGAATCAGATGCAAATTCAACTAAATTATAGGAATGGGAATCAAACAATAACTTGAAGACACTGTCTTCTGAGGGTAGTCTTGCGACCCGCCTTTTCTCAGCCTGGCCGTCAAAATCATGGCGTCGATTGCAGCTCGGCCGGTCCTAAACTCGTATTAGAGATGATGAAAGCAGTCGAGTTGTTACAGGCGTTTTGCAACCACTTTCTCTGCTAATTCACCAACAATATTGAATAGGGCAAATATTGGTCTCCAAGAGGTTTCCATTGGAAATAGGCAAACTTTGTGAAGAAAAGCGAAGACAATGTGATTCTTGAGTCCTCCAGAGGATTCATTTTTGAGCCCTTCGCACATCGAGGCTTGTCTTTTGTTCATGTGGGATTTTATATGTGGTGGAATAATGTGGTGTACTGACGAGTTTTGTTAGGTTGACCTGGTTGGGAGTCGATACCCGGAAGAGACACTCAAATACCTCCCCAGGACAATTGTCGACGATAGATAATAAGTCCAGGAATTTATTATCAACTGCGGTAGCAGAAGTGACGAGCTGCCTGTGTGTGGCGAGCATGACATCAAGCTAAACATGGCTTGTAAGGGTTAATCAAATTCTACTACAACTTCGTAGTCCCTGAAGAGATCATACTCTAAAAGGGGAAAGCCACAAGATCGTGCTCGAATGGATTTGCTAAGGACAATGAGGTAATGAAGCTGAAATATTCACCTATAGCATTCTGCCTATGAGAATACAGAAATCTGAAACAGATTTACCAAGTGGGACTTCTCAGTTCCTTCCATCCGGGAAACTTGCTATGAAAGCATTGTTAACCTTCGTACACGTAATTCAGCATGTGTGCTGACATTTTAAAGATAACATGTTTTCCTATGAAAAACTACGAAACTCCTTCTGGCCAGAGGATTCTGTACCATGCTACCCTAAATAAACTCCTCCTTGTCAATGTAGAACCTATCCACTTCCATAAATTGTTCCACGTTAAGAATATACTCATTCAAGTCAAGCCCAGTCTGCATCGCCTCCCTGAGCTTCCGCACCTTATCCCCAAATGCCTGTCCAGGGTCAGTCCCTTTCACAGTCATGTACCAAGGATCCTGTGCTCGCATCCAGCTCATCGTCATAAATTTCTCGGTTTTGTCAAACACATCGAGCAGGCCATTAACACTATATGCCCAGGTGAACTGGCTAAAGGCAGTATTTCCAAAGTATTGTGATACACAAATGTACAATGCTCCCATAGCAATGATGTGTGTAAGTGGTGTGTTAATATCTGGTTCGCAGTTCTTTGGGTTGACCACCGCTGTTTCAATAATATCCAACAATTGCCGGATGTAGCGCTGTTTGTACTTTTCCACATCATCTGCCATAGCAATAAGAGTCAGACAAAGAGCAAATCCACGGGAATATACGTAAAGAATGATATGGTATTTTGATTAGCATTAACTGAGCGCTGATACGTACTTTGAATGAAAGCAATGATTCCCAGACTGTTTCGAACACATGGATCTTCTGTTCCATGAACATTGGAGTGGGAGTAGATATATTGGAGCGACGAGCGTTTAAAAGCCTTTTTATCCCCCATTACAAAGCTCAGAACCACCTTGACAAATACGCTCTCTGCATGACATGCATCATCCAAACCTAATGGTCGGGAGAGGTATGTTTCAATCCAGGGCACCAACCCGCGTTGACAATCTAAACCCCAGGCCACTTCCAATATGTTACCCACTGCCCAACCTGAGAGGGGTTCGCAATTATCCATTGGCGAGTGCAAAACCCTTAACAATAATCGTACGTTCTCCTGCAATGGTCTCATACTCCCCGTACTAGAAAATACCAAATTCACATCTTTCCCGCGCCGCGAAGCCGAAATATCAGGCTCCTTGGAAATGTTGTTCATTACTCCCCCAGCAAGGCCAAGCGCTTTTGTCAAGGCCACACTGGCTTTGCTCAACACGGCTGACGACACCTTTGCACGTAGAAGAGGAGAGATCGCCTTGTTAGCTGGGTTTAGGCTTTTGAGTGTAAGCACCACATCACCTCGAGCACAGATTGCCTCGATAGGTAAGTTGTCGTGGTTTCGTACGTCAGAAAATACCCTTGGTGGCGGTGGGGACGATATTTTGGCAGTTGCAGTTGTCATCCGCGTACCGCTATTTCTCCGAATATGGGGGGTGGTTTCTTCTCTGGCTTGAATCCAAATGCGAGAATGATCTAGGGCAAATCCATGTGCCTGACGGTTATTCCTCCAGTTTGTAGCAGAAGCAGGTTTACTGCCATTGTCCACGTATACTTGATGGGAATTTGGTCTATGGGGATGGACTAGATGCGGCGGACGATAGCGTGGGGTACGACTGGTTTCCATACTCCTTATGTGATGCCTATTTTCCTCCGTCCGTCTGGGTGTTGGGACTCGAACGTCGACAGGCAATATACCAAGGCTCGCAATTGTTTATATTGGCTTCAATTAAACCGGGTGGTTTTAGCAAGAGATGGTTTTGATCTATTTTACGAGTGGCAGTATCTATCTATACCAGAGAGGATTGTCCCGATCCGCAATGGAACAAACAAAGGAGGCTGAAATCTGGGATGGGGGGCCTGAAATGAGGTGTGGTCAATTACCCATGCCCGCAGCTGCAGGTACTGTACACATGATTACACATATAAGCCCAATGGAAGTATAAAATTCTGGGCCAGGAAAGAAATATATATATATACTGAGTAGCATGAATTCTGGTAGTCTGGTTGGCACAAGCCTCTCGTAGCTAGAATTCTGGCTAGTTTGGGAGACATTCTGCCAATACGAGACTGGCATCATCGGCCCAATATTAGTCTCATGCCAAGACCCTTCTGGAGCCCAATATGAAGATATATGAAACATGAGTTATGCCACTGTAAGCTGAGCACTAACCAGCTCGAACACAACAATGGAGATATTTACATTGAAGATATGCAAGTCGCCGATAATTAGATGTTAAAAGTAACAACCACTCCGTGTTCATGTAGACTGTAGTGCTATAGCTGGAATCAATAACATCTGTAT